CTTTGTCTAAGCATTTCATGTAAGAGGCATGAGGAAGCTTGTTTTCAAGGATTGTTGCTGCTCTAAGTGATAGCTTGTGGGAGCCTTCGTTGACCAGACTTTGAAACAAAGCTTGTGGGTGGTCCTTCAACAGATAGGAATGTTTTCGAAGGGTTTTTTGACAGATGGCGTAACAGAGAATAAGTTCCCTCTTGCAGTGAAGCAACGTTGACGTTCCTTTGAACACTTTGGAGATTATCTGAAGGAACCACGCTGTTCACACAAAGTCTACAAAAAATGAGTTCTAAATCTATGACGTAGGAATTTACCAGGTGATCTACGATGTAGTTTGTTGAATGATCACCCAGTCCATCCAGCTCCGTCATATGCTGGACACCATGTTGCAAGGCGTACTGTTCAGCTTCGTTGAACTGGGAAGCAAGAAGCTTCTTGTCTTTAATTTTGTCAAGCTCAACAGTGCAAAGGTCGAAGAGGATCTTATGCCCCTCTTTCTCGTCCACGATGAATTCATGCTGACCATACGACGACGTATTTGTTAACCAATCTTTCACAGACTTATGGATGAAGTGAACTCGATCGTGGCAGATTGGCAAAAGAAAAGAGATACAGGCGATTATTTTATTTACTTTTCGCCTGGCAGTGGAACAGTTCCCAGAAGGTTGTAATGTTCTGGAGGCAAAGGCCAACGGCAGGGGCTCTCTGGAAGCGGTTAGGGCGCATAGGAAATGTAACACTTGTTCTTCTTCAATCTTTAACTCTTTGCAAAGTTCCTTTTCTAACCGTTTAAAATGATCGAGATAAACGGATGAAATACCCAAAGGCAATCTGCTCTCCACCTCCTCGAGAGTAATTGGCGAGGCATTCTCTTCGAGTACAGCACTAAGAAAGTATGCAAACAGGAAAATACCTTCGGTCCTTTCAACCAGTTTGTCCAAGAGCACATTCTTACGTTCTTGCTCAAGTTGGTTTCCCAGACGTAGTTCAAAGAAGCGCTTAATGTCGCTTAAGTTCTCTTCCTGTTTTTGGTTAAGGTGCATGGGTTGCAGATGCTTCAGTCTCTCCGTAATGTTTATTTCTGGTCGGGCTGTCACTAGAAATCGAATCCATTTTGGGAGCTTAAAAAAATGCTTACCAATGACATCGAGAAGCTCATTGCGTCCTTGATATTCACTTTCGTCCAAGCCATCTATCACCATCAAGATGTTTCTTCCAGGATCTTTAACAGCATTAAGAGGCTCCTTCAAAAACAGAGCAAAGAGCACTTCGACACCCAAGCTGTTGAGCGGTGCCCCCAGATTCCGTGATAGTTTTTCCAAGAGAGCTTCCTTGTACTCGGGTAAGGTGTGTGTCAAATGACACGCCAAGGATTGAAGCATCAGCTGCGGATTTCAATAGCGCACGTTGTTGTGCTGACAGAAGTGGCTTCCTGACAGTCGACCAGCTTCTTGCATTCTCTTACACGCAACAGCGGAGATAACTGACTTTCCCATACCAGCATTACCACTGATGACCATTACTCGATTTTCGGAGCTTTTGTCGTCTAACCATTCATCAATCTTTTGGAAGATCCACTCACGGGTTCCTTCCTGGAATCTTTGGGCATGATATTCAATGTCCTCCCGGAAGTCAACCTTCGCTAGGTTTTTAAGGGCCTCAGCTTCCTAATAATCTTCTCTCTTCTTCTTTTCGTACTCAGCTACCTGTTTAAATTCTTCGATACCTACTTGCATTTCTTCAACAGCCTCAAGAGTTTTTGCCTGGCATTGGGACAATTTATCCAACTTAAACCTGGTATCCTCAAGTATTTTCTGGTCTTCTATTTGGTTTTGACGTAGATCTGCAACGTCTTCACGCATCTGTATCTGGAAATTCCGTATATCCCTCAGCTGTGACTTCGTATCTTCTTCACTTTCAGACCACTCACGTAACAAGTCAATACAGTCCTCCTCTCCGCTATGTTCCGCTTCTAATCTATCTATTTCTACCTGGTCAAACCCAAGATCAACAAGGACTGCGCGAATTTCCTGCCACAGAGACAAAAACACTGACATTTCAACACCAGTGGTCGACACGTGGCCATACAGCTCATTGCGGAAAAACTTCACTCGAGCAAGGTTAGCCTCGAAAGAGGTGTCACCAACAGGTGGCATCGCGTGCCATCCTGAGGAGGGAGGGGTGAGGCCATACATGTTGGTCAAAAGGAGAAACAAAAGAGTGATATCAAATTCTTTGGAATCAGCTGGATCCCCATTAGGTGGGAAAAGTTGGTCCCACTGGGCTAAACGCAGAACCTTTTTCTTGAAAAGAGTGTGCAGTGTTGTGAAGTGGGAGCTGAGACCAGCAGCTAGTTTGCTGGGGGGGTGAAAGGTATTGAACCATTTCCTCAAAACCGCTGTACCACCATCAATAAGAAGTCTGCAGAGCTTAGCTCCATTAGTCTTTTCTACAGAACTGGCAAGTGATGAAGGTGTGGCAGCTGCCATACCTGGTGCTTTAGGGCGTGGATTCTTTAGCGAAGCTTACTCGTCAGAATAAAACTCGGTCCTCAACATCTCCACTGCGTTCTTCTTATGAAACAGTCGTTGTAAGGGTGCCTTTATTGGATATTTGTAGTCAAATGATGTTCTAAAATAACCTGTACCTGTGTGAAAGTAATGAAAAGATGCTTCATAAATTTATAGACAACACGTTTAAAGACCGTAACATTGTCGCTCAAAAGCAAAGCCAAGAAGGCTAGTTTGCTTGCAAATTAAAGGATAATCATCATATCCGCTATTATAAAAGAAGGTCTGTAGTCATAAACATGACAATAAGGAAAATTCATACGATTGTCTATCACAGGTAATTTTTGGCCTTTTTTTTCTGAAACCAAGGAAGCTCTACGGATTGGTATCAAACTCATTTCCTTTCAAGGGGGTTGTTCTCTAGCATAAAAAAAGTGACTGGGTTTAGTACGTGCCTACTCTGCCGCTGTAAATGATTTTACATCTGCGAATTTGAATCAGCAATCTTAAACGTTTCATGTCGCTACTTTCATCTAGTTATCTGACGTATTTTTAGCCAATCTTGTAATCAATTATCTTTCCCTTCTTACCAATGCACCCTTTTTTGTTATGCAGTCAGCAGATATATTTCATTCACCACTACCATTTCAAGTGTTATCGATTGTACTTCTCC